AGTGGCAAAGGGGAAGGGGTCAGACCCTGCCAAGAGAAAGCTGCTGGCATGCTTCCTCAAAATGGGTGGGGATCTCAAGGGGAAGCGAGACCTCTGGCACAAAGAACTCCTGTGCTACGCAAAGAGCTCAGGCAACTTTCCTGCAAATAAACTCTTTGCAGCTGGTCCTGTCAAAGGCTTTGCTCTGCCTGCTTGTTACCTTCCTGAGGTGAGAGGCACTCAGAGGAATGGGTCCCCTTCCAGACAGTGCTGAAACGCTTTGGCCTGCAGGAGTGCCTTAGAAGAGCATCTTGCCTCTGCATTTATTTGTGTGGGAGCTGCCCATCAAACTCTTATCTGCCCATTGCCACTGACTTAGGTGAAAAGGGGAAGCATCGCCTGCAGAAGGGATCCCCTGGACACAGAGGAGTGGCAGTTTGCCTTGAGGAAGTCTGTGGCATGGACTGAGGAAGAAATAAAGCATGGCTACCAAGGAGAGAACAATGCCAGGGTAGAAGCAGCCCACTGGATGCAGATGAGAGCCACAGGGCTGCTGGAAGATGGTGATGGAAGGCAAGGCTTGGCTGACCAAGCCTTGCAAGATGTCATGCCCAGCAAGGGGAAAGCACCACAGGCTTTGAAAAATGCTGGTGATGATGAAGAAGGTGACCAAGCCTCAGAAAGTAGAGAGGGCAAGGATGGGCAAGTGGCTGAAGCTGAAGTTCTCTCTGCAGTGGGAAAGGCTTTGCCAAAGAAAGAGGCTGTCCTCAGGGTGAGCAGAATGGTGAAGCTTTTGAAGCAGGTGAAGAAGGATGTGGGGGCTGCAAAAGGCAAGCCTTTGGATGGATGCTTGGAAAAGCTGCAGAAGCTTGAGAAGCAGGGGGGGCCAAGCTCAGCATGGAGGATGCCAAAGTGAAGCTGTTCGATGCAGCCCTCCAGATCAAGAAGGTGAAGATGACCTGAGGGACTGAGCAGTCTAGGCTTCCACCAACATGGTTCTGAGCCATGCCCTGCGCAAGGGCTTTGTCAAGCTGGGCCCTGCAAAAGGGCTGTGTCCTGCACATGGGCTGGGTCCTGCAAAAGGGCTGTGCCCTGAAAAGGGGTGAGCCTCAAAGGAAGCATGGCCTTTGGTGGTGCAAAAAAAGAAGAGCAGCTGCCTGCTCTACAGTCACTGGGTGTTGCAACACACTGGTAAGCAACAGCAACATGGCAAGGTGAGGTTTTGCTCTGCAGCTGCTTTGGATGCACTCAGCTACCAGGGGGCACAGGTCCTGTGAAAGGGCTTGCTTAGGCCCTGTGAAAGGGCTTTCCATCCATGAGCAAGTGGAAGAGGAAGAAGTATGCTGATGCCACAGGGAGCAAGCCAGAAGAAGAAGAGTTCTCACCCCTTGGCCTTTCTCTCTTGGAGCAGTTCTCTTCTGGGATGAGTGCCCCTGGGCAGCATCTAACTTGTTCCTGGAAGTGTCTGTGTGCAGGCAAATATACTCATTGCTGAGGGGCCATCTGTCCAAGCCATTGCATTGGCAGCAACCAAGAGTGGGTGCAACTCTGCTGACTTGCAGCAGCTGGCTGCGTTGGGTAACTATGGTAGGTCTTCTGAGCACATAGCCTCCCAGATGATTTCCAAGTATTGCAAGTCTGACAACATCAAACTTCCTGAGCCGTACCTGGCTGAAGTTCCAGTCTGTGTGAGAACTCCAGATGATTGGGTTCTCAGTATGAAGCCTGTGTCTTTGTACCTGCCACATGAGTGGTTTGCCTGGCTACAAACAGAAGAGCAGGCAGCAGGGTGGCTACAACTCCATGACTTCTGGGACAGCCACTCAACGGATGACCCAAAGCTGGATGGCTCACCAGTGATGGATGCTTCTTGGCTGAGCCTTTGAACTGTAACTGTCTTGAAACTTGAAACCTTTTTTTCATGCGCACATGTGATGCCCAGCTAGGAAGGATGTGACAAATTCCTTCCACTCATTCTCCATGGAGATGGAGGGGCATTTCAAAGATCTGATAGTATTGTGGTTCTCAGCGTGCGACCACTGCTATCTTCATCTAATGTTGCACACACCTCCTGGCCATCCCCAAGTCAGCAATTCACAAATCTGAGAACAAAGCTGAAGACACCATGCACTGCATTTGGTCAATATTGACCTGGAGCATGAGTCACATGTTCTATGGCAAGTTCCCAGAGAAAGATTTCCAAGACAAGGATTGGCCCACCAAGCCCACCAGATCCAAACAGGCAGGCAGCTTGTTGCACAGTGATGGGCTTTGTGGCATGATTTATGCCATCAGTGCAGATGGAGAGTTCTTTCAAAACGAATACAAGCTGCCAGGAAGTTCCCACGCACAGTGCTGCTGGAGCTGTGGTGCTAACAAGACCAGCCACCCACGCAATGATTATCGGCCTGGGGCCAAGTGGAGAGACACCATTGTTGACCACAGAAAAAAGAATCCCACAGAGCATTTGGTGATGACAGTGCCAGGCATCAATGGATACACCTTCACTTATGATTCTCTCCATATTCTGGAACTTGGTGTCTCAGCAAACATAGTTGCCAACTGCCTATTTGATATGATTGTCAAAGGAGAGTTGCCAGGCAATAGCCAGGAATCCAGACTCAAAGAGTTCTACAGGAGGCTGTCAGGCCTGTACACTGAGCTATGCACAGACTCCTCTCACCAACTCAGGAGGATTCACTTGTCCAACTTCTGCCAGCCCTCCAATAAGTGGAATGTGTTTCCTGAGCTTTCAGGAGTGAAAGCCAAGCAAGTGAGATACCTCATTACTCCAATTCTGGAGTTGTGCAAAGACTTGCAGGGTGACAGCCCATACAGAACATGCAGAACAGATTGTGTCAGCAACCTGAACAAGATGTACCACATCATGGATTCTGAGGGGTTGCATCCTCAAGAGTCAGCCTACATGCAATATAAGAAGGCCACTGAGAAGTGTTTGATCTGCTACACCAAGTTGGCCAAGATGACAACATCCCAGAAGCTTCTTCAATGGAACGCTGTACACAAGCATCACTTGAGCTGCCACATGATCGAACAGTTCAGATTCACCAACAGCAGGTTTGTGTCCACCTACACAGGAGAAACAATGGTTGGTCTTATGTCATCTCTTGCTCACAGTTGCCTCAATGGCACACCTGGGCATTTGGTACCAACAAAGGTGGCCTGGAGATATCGTTTGGGCTTGCATCTCAGGTTGGCACATGGTGACCTGGAGGTGATGGAATCTGATGAAGAACTTTGAGAGTCAATCCTGCAAAAGGGTTGCATCTTTGGTCCTGCAAAAGGGCTTGCAGTGGGTCCTGCATGGTCCTGCAAAAGGGCTACCAGACTGTCTTTGTTTCACTGCGCCCTGGAAAAAGCAACAGCATGTGGCACCACATTCTGGCAACTGTGAAAACCTGTTCAATCTCTTCAGGTTCCCAAGGTCTAAACCAATAAGGTCCTGTTGAAACAAACAATAAGGATTCTGTTGGTTAATTCAACAGTGGTTAGGAAACATGCACCTTCCTATTTCAACAGAATTTAGTGATTCTGTTGAAATACTACCCTAGTGTGGAAATGTACGATTTGTGTTGAATCTTTTCAATAACAAGCACTCTGGGTAGTAGGTTGGGGGGCCATCGCTAGTAGGTTGGAGGCCATCGCTTTTGCATTGGAGGCCATCGCTAGTAGGTTGGAGGCCATCGCTAGTAGGTTGGGGGCCATCGCTAGTAGGTTGGAGGCCATCGCTAGTAGGTTGGAGGCCATCGCTAGTAGGGTGGAGGCCATCGCTTTTAGGTTGGAGGCCATCGCTAGTAGGTTGGAGGCCATTGCAGGTTGGAGGCCATCGCTAGTAGGTTGAAGGCCATCGCTACTAGGTTGGAGGCTATCGCTAGTAGGTTGGAGGCCATCGCTAGTAGGTTGGAGGCCATCGCTAGTAGGGTGGAGGCCATCGCTAGTAGGTTGGAGGCCATCGCTAGTAGGTTGGAGGCCATCGCTACTAGGTTGGAGGCCATCGCTAGTAGGTTGGAGGCCATTGCTAGTAGGTTGGAGGCCATTGCAGGGTGGAGGCCATTGCTAGTAGGTTGGAGGCCATTGCTAGTAGGTTGGAGGCCATCGCTAGTAGGCTGGAGGCCATTCATTGCTAGTAGGTTGGAGGCCATCGCTAGTAGGTTGGAGGCCATTGCTAGTAGGGCGGAGGGCCAAGGCCAAACCAAGCAAGCCCTCACCACTGCCTTCA